TATTCTAGTTTGGGTTAAACAAATAAATTTTGCTTGGTTGGAACAGCAGCTACGCTAATTATGTCTATTTGTTTCTCTGTTTCTGCTGGGATTGACATCCCGTGGTAACTAGGATTTACACAAGCTTCAGTCTGGATCCAGAACACCTGAGAAGAGATGATGCCAACCCCTCAGAGGACCTCAGATGATGCCAACCCTGAAACAACATACAGAACTACCACATTTTGCTATAAGTTTGATTGCAGCATATAATAATTGCTGCTAATAGTCGTTTGTTTGATTACATCTTTAATTGATTTTTCCGTACATTTCTGCCATATGTACATTAACTGACAGTCACCACTGACAAGCTACCACTAAATATTGTAGAAACTTAATTTGCTGTAAAGTTGCTTTGCAACGATTTGTATCGTGAAAAGCGCTGTACAAATAAACTTGAATTGAACTGAATTGTTTTAGAGGCTAGTCATCATTTATTTTAGGCTTCATCACTATTTAGCTATTTATTCTTTCACTTTATATTATATAATGCGCTCATAAAAGCTCTGTGTTTTATATTATACTCAAAAAAGTACAATTACTGATAAAAACTACTTAATGTAACGTGAGTATTTGTAATTCGTTACTTCACACCCCTGATATTATATTATAGCCTGCCATTCATAAAATATCCACCAGCTCCTTTGTGTATTTATTAAATATCATATAATTTGACGATGCTTTCAGCTGCAGGCAGACTGTAGTCTTCAAAGCTCTGTTTAACACATTGTGTCATATTTAAATACATTTTTCACCACAATAAGTGCAGAAAAGTGTGTAGATTACATATGGAAGAAGAAACTGTGCATAAAATAGCTGGTGTATTTTAGTAGCATTTGTATGCTGTTATATAATATATTAATATTTTAAATCAGCTTTTTTATATACATTTATTTACATTTTTTTTATATTAGTTTTTATCTTAGTTTAGTGTGGTTTTGTCTTTTTTAATTAGTTTTTTTTTTTTTTACTTTTTTTTTTTAAGTTCAGTTTTAGTTTTTATTTATTTCCAGTTAGTAACTATAGTGCTTCAAGTTAAACATTCAGTTGGTTGCGAAGGCAACATTTCTAATCGGTTTAATGTAATTTCTCCTCTAATGCTGATATGTTCTAGTATTGCAGCTTCATGTCAGTTGACTAATAGTGTTAGTTTGAGCTGAGGATAATAACGCTGGTGTATTTCTGCTGGTGTGTGTTCTGCAGGCCGAGCGCGAGCTGCACGCTCAGAGGTTGTGTTGGCTGCGTGTGGAGAGCGTTCATCGGGTTCTGTGAGAAATCGTCCAGGAGAACCGCTTCAGTAAAGCCTCCAGCGCTCTGACAGCGGAGGACAAGGTACGACATGAACCTCAGCGACTGCTGCTGCGGGGCTCTACGCTTACTTTTCTTTTTAGGAGCACTTGTGCTCCTAACTTAAAAAATGTAGGAGCACGTTCAAAATTTTAGGAGCACTTTCTAAACAAGTATCCAAAATGTTATCAAAAAGTAGCCTTCCCATTACGAGGTGATATTTGACTCCTCTAACTTTATTAAAAGTATGTCATCTTTTGTCAAATTCTTAAAAAAATAATGTTTTATAAGCTTTTTAAAAATGTTAATTAAAACGACAGAATAAGAACAAGTAGAATAAGAAATATAAGTTACCAATCAAATTAAATCAGTATTAACAAAATTAATTTGTAGAGGTGGCACAGAAGAACACAAAAGTGACATTTAATGAGGCTCAGAAGTGGAATGAGTGCAATTAAATCCATAAATTCATGATGATATTAATGTTTTAAATATAACATTTTGAATATAGAAATATTAAATGATTTAAATAACTGAAAAGATACTTTTAAAATGAAACAAACTGCCAGCAGGTGGCGGTAAGTCACTGATTTTATCACTGAATCATTCATTCAATTGATTCATTCGAACGACTGAATCATTCAGGAATGAAGCAAGTGACAGTATTTATGAAAGCTCCCCTGAGCGCAATCACAAGTATGATGATGATCGGGTCAGTATGGTAAATTTAATAATAAAAGTACCATAATAATAATAATGATAATAATAATAATAATGATAATGGTAATAATTTAATTCATTAATTGGAAATGACAAATCCTCTCGATATCATCGACAGCTGATGATTTTTTTTCTCGATATCTCTGTCATCGTCTGCGCAACTCGAGTATACGAATATTTGGGACGTGACTTGTTTGTGTGACAGTTCAGTTCTCCTCAGAGCTGTGCAGACTATTGATAACTGAGAGGAACTGAAAAGTAGTGGATTCTGGGCTATTTGCTAAAATCAGGTTCAGTGGGGCCCCTCTCAGCTACATATCCGAGAGTAAATATTGTGATTTCGGAGAGATTTGACTCGTCTATTTGAAGAGAACATGATGTTAACTTAGTTACAGTCAAATAATTGTGTTGAAATCATTGTTATTTGGTGCGTAAGAAGCGTAAAATCTGGGTTATTATGGTACAGTGATAAAAGTTAGGAAATCTCACATATTAATGGATGAATTAAAAAGGTGGAGCAGTGGACAATAGACTAGAGATTTTCAAAATGTCAGCAAGTAAATAATAATGTATGCTATTTACTCGTAAAAGGAAAATCCCAGAACATCATGAATTAATATTATATTATAAAGTCTTAGAACGTGTGGAAACGTATGGAAATATCTGGTTTGGTGTCTGGTTTGATATATATATATATAAAACATTATTTATTATATATATAAATAAAAAAAACATTTAGTTGATAAATGTAGAAAATCCTGTGTTATTTTAATGTGGCGTGGAGAATGCGTGTGACGTCACTGGGAGAGGAAGCGCAGGTGAGTCGACGCTGCAGGTGACTTCCGCTTTCATATTTCTCCTGAAGGACGTGTGTTCTTTGATATGTGTTTGAAACTCTTATTTTTAAGCAGATGAAGTGGTTTCGTTGTCTGCTCTGCATACGTGCCGCTTCTGCTCTACCTCTGCTCTACATATGCGCCGCTTCTGCTCTGCCTCTGTGCTGCCTCTGCTCTGCCTCTGCTCACCGCTTCTGCTCTGCCTCTGCTCTGCATACGTGCCACTTCTGCTCTGCCTCTGCGCTGCCTCTGCTCTGCATACGTGCCGCTTCTGCTCTGCTTCTGCGCCGCTTCTGCTC